AAACTACGGGTTGTAACACCGTCTCCACTTGAGGCCTCAAACTCTCCAAATCTCTACCTTAACTGCCTGTATTTTACATTTACAACTGGTTTTATTAATTGACGAAAAGGGTGGGAAATTATAATGAAATTGTCTGTCGCTAAGTCACTTCTTGCAACCTTGCAATTTAAGGGTAGTGGCGTGACCCACCTTCGATGAGCCACTCCTTGTATTGAGCAATTATATTGCATAATTATACATTGATTTATGAAATGATTGAACTTTATTTACGAAACTTCGTTAAAATGAAGTCTTTGATTCTATATTGAGGTTCTTTACCTTTTATTTCTTAATATTCTCGAAATTTATTTAACAAAACTAAATTGAGAACAGCTACTTGTTTCTTAATTTATTTATAAATTAATTTGAAAAATTGTGTTTGTGTTGTATGTTTGTGTTTTATATTATTTATTATTCCATTTGTAATTTATTATAAGTAGAAAAAGTATTTAAATCACTATGTGATTTAAATCTTAGAATAATTAATTGAATTTAAGTATCTTTTTTTTAAAATTGAAAATTTTAAAAAGTTACGAAATTCGTTTGTAACAGTGTATGTTCACCACAAAAAATATTGAGATGTCCATTTTTGTTATTTTCGAGATATTAATTAATTAATTAATGTTAATAAATAATGAAATAGTTAAGATGGTAAATAGGTGTCTCCTATTAAGTATTTCATTAACCTAATCATATTTGATAAGGTAGAAATTTAATTGACCAACAGTCAAATTTTTATGTACTAAACTGGTACAAATATTTTTCGTACATGGTTTCTGAAAAAAGTGATTAGGTTAGATATGATTAGGTTAATGAAATACTTAATAGGAGACACCTATTTACCGGCAATAAGAAGGTTCTGGGATCATACCCCAGCAGCGAGAAACGACCCACTTTTTTCAGAAACCATGTACAAAAAATATTTGTACGAGTTTCGTACATAAAAATTTGACTGTTAGTCAATTAAATTTCTACCTTATCAGATATGATTAGGTTGTTAAAGACGGATGTTAATAAACAAAAAAAATAATAAAGATAAATAATTCAAAGAGAAATAATAAATATTTAGAAAAAAAATTACTAATTTTTATTATTCAACCATTCCGCTTATTCGGAAAACGTAATTGCTCTTCGCTAAGCAAGTTAGAAAAAGGTAGTGGACTGTCACCCAGAGTGTTATTCATTCAACACCCACGGGTAGACAGTACTTTATTGAAAATGATTACAAAGAAATAAATGAGACAAATGCATATAAAGGTAATTAAATAAATCAAAACTTGAATTAACGTAAAATAAGATTACATTTATTCATTCAACCCCCAAATGATTTACATTAAGTTTCCCAATTGGTTTTAAATAGAAAAGGTTTACAATTTAAATAATGTTTACTTTAAGCTACTTGATTAACAAAATCAAGTCTCACAAAAAATGTCATTTATGACAAGTAAAAAAAGAAAAACAAAGAGATCCAATAAAAGAAAACTCTCAATAAAAAGAAAAACAATTTGTGTGTGTAAACTGTGTGTAAAGTGATGTTTGTTTATCGTATTTAGATTTTATATATGTTTAAATTAATATATATAGCATTGAAGCAACTCACCAGAATAATAATAAAATAAAGATACTGAAAACCCTGGCGGATTCGATTTACCTAAAATCGACCCAGCTGGGTCGAATCTAAGTCGAATTTAGGTAATTATCAAAAAAAGCTTTAAATTGATGAAAATTTATAAAAATTAGTATTGTGAGGTTAAATGAACATTCATAGAGTTAATTTTTGTAAGAATTTTAATTATTAACGTGATAAATAATAAATAATTACTTGATATGTGCAAGTAGTAACTGTAGATTTTAACTCGTTGTCAGTTTTCATAATATTTTCAGAAATTAGTGTAAAATGTATGAAAAAATAATTTATATTTAATAGAAATTGCAAATTTTATTAAATTATTTTATTATTTAACAATCACATTTCATAATAATTGCAATTTAATTAAAAAATAACAGTTTTCTTAAAAGTGACAAGAACTCTATTATACCGACCACACACGGTAAAAGTGCGCGAATATGAATGCACATGATCTTCTGGCGGGAAAATTCAAATTGTTAATTACAACTATTTCATTATTATCTTAATTTCATTAATTAAATATATTTGATTAACCATAAAAGATAATCATTTTATAAAAATTTTCTCAGAAATGCCGAATTAATCATTTATTTATACCAATTTACTTATATTAATACTAATAATCACTATTTCTTTACTTTTAACTATCGCCCTATATTAGTTGCAGACGCCGTTAGATGGCAGCAGCATGCAGGGAGCACAAATTTCCAGCTATCCTATTACTTAAAATTAGTGATTATTAGCATTAGTATAAATAAATGATTAATTTTTTTATAACTTGTATTAAAAAACAATTTCATTAAAGAATTGTGAATATGAAATAAAAAATCTGCAACTTTTTTTTTAAAAAAAAAAAGAATTTTGTTAAAAAAAATGTAATTGTTAAATAAGTTTTAATGTAAATTTTTCTTATTTTTATGTCTAAAAATTTATATTTTTGTTAAAAAATTATGATGGCAAAATACAAATTTAACTAAATTTTTTGATCTTTTATTTAAGAATTTTTTAAAAAGTTATAAGTAAAAATTTAAGAAAAATATATCAGCTTAATTTTTATTATTTTAACAAAATTCTAAAGTTTTTTTTATAAATAAAGAAAAAAATTGCATATTTTCTATTTAATGAATGTTTAAAATTTGTAACTCTTTTCAAATCTTGGCGCGCGTTCCGCTGTTCCGTGTGTGGTCGGTATAATAGAGTTCTTGTCACTTTTAAGAAAACTGTTATTTTTTAATTAAATTGCAATTATTATGAAATGTGATTGTTAAATAATAAAATAATTTAATAAAATATGCAATTTCTATTAAATATAAATTATTTTTTCACACATTTTACACTAATTTCTGAAAATATTATGAAAACTGACAACGAGTTAAAATCTACAGTTACCACTTGCACATATCAAGTAATTATTTATTATTTATCACGTTAATAATTAAAATTCTTACAAAAATTAACTCTATGAATGTTCATTTAACCTCACAATACTAATTTTTATAAATTTTCATCAATTTAAAGCTTTTTTTTGATAATTACCTAAATTCGACTTAGATTCGACCCAGCTGGGTCGATTTTAGGTAAATCGAATCCGCCAGGGAAGTATCTAATTACTTTTCAACGTTTGATATTTGAACTTCGTATTTTATATATATATATATGATTCACGAACATGCGGAAGTATATCCTTTCTTCCTCTGTTCTCTAATAAATTCCTTTTATTTAACCTTTAATATTTATTAACTTGCGACAATTATTTTAATATTTCAAAGTCTGCTTATTAAAAATTCAGAAGTTTGGGTTCACCAAACCTAAATTTTCCAAACAGTTAGTTTTGAAATAAAAACAATTGTTGTTATAAACAAAAATAAAACACTTTCTGAATTTAATCGTAACATGCACTTTTATCATTTATAGCACTTTGTATTTGATAATTAATTTACTCTTCTTTTTAAATTTATGAACTTTTATATAATGATCGATTTTACAAATGTGGAATATTCACTATATTACTGAGATAATTTCGTAGACTCTACCCTTACTGAGGGGAGCAAATAACTATTTTCTACCACTTTTAGTGGGAACAAACTTTATAAATTCTTCCGCCTTCTTGCGGGCAACACATCCGCTTTGCGGGAAAGATAAAATAAGACTGCCGTGAACAATAATTTGGTGGCAACGATCACACCCATTTGGTATATAATTTTAGGTGGTGGGAGGGTTGATTTTGCAATCAACTCCTCGTTGTTTCCATGCAAGTTTCAGCAAAACTTTCATTTTAATCATGGCGTGATCGGTTCAACCACCTGAATTATCGGTATACTTTATATGTTTCCTCATTTTTCCAAAATAATGTGGCAACTTCTATACAGTGTAAGTCCCACAACTTGTGCAATCGATCGATAATTTAGTTCAAATTATTTCGCAATATGAGGTTCAATAATCTGAAATTATTTGCGAAATAATTTTGATTTAGAAATTAAATAAAATAAAAAAAATGAAATTATAAATATTTATTGAATTAATTAGAAATATTATTTGAATATTCTAGTGTCCAAAACTTAGTATGTGTGTGTTTGTGTTGTATATGTTGTAGGTGTATAATTGAGAAGAATGTTTACAATATTTTAATAACAAATATTATTTCTAATGAATAATATTTAACAAAAAAAATTTAAAAATTACGGAAATCAGTCCGTAACAAATACCCCCCTTTGTTCTGGCTGACGTCCCTTGGAAGCCTGTGTAGGCGTTATGTCATCTATTTATAATTTTTTTTTTTACAAAGAGTCCTTTAGTGGATTTACATTTATAATGTTTACAAATTGTCCAAGATAGTGAAATTGTTGTAGTTTGTAGAGTAGCTGAAACAAAATTTTAACGAGAACTGATTTTCCTTCTATAATGGTAAAATGTCGTTTCCTCTTTTTTTTGTTTTAGGAAGATTTTTAGGAAAAAGTCAAATGAGTTCTTGTCTTTGAGAAAAAAAATGTTGGGTGTGCAAAAAAAAATAAAAAGAACTGATGTTTTCCAAAAAAATGAAGTTAAAAGCAAAATCAGTAAAATTATTAAATTTCCTTGTTTTCCTATTAAATTATAAATTAGGATAAAAATTAAAGATGATATTTTGTTAAGTTTAGTTGATTTAAAATTATTAACTACTTACTGTTTTTAAAATAAAAAGTATAGAATGTATAGCGATTAATTTAACTTAAATTTATTTAATTCATACTAATACTGTGTCCAATTTTTATATCAAATTTTATGCTAAAAATTGCTGAACCCTCTTTTACTTTTTGCTAATTTGCAGAAAGTGTTTCCTTTAAGTGTTCGTTTTACATTGCGTGACCAGTCTTTCTGTAGTCTTTCTCAAGTTCTCAGCTTTAATTCAAAATTTTATTTCATTTGTTATTTTGTTTGAAATTTCTCTGTGTAATTATGCAAATACTATGTCCTCCAATTCCCTTTCTTTTGATTCCTACATGATGGCCCTTGAGTTGGTTAGGAGTGGGGTGACGGACGCGGTGAGTTTTTTAGTGTGGAAGCGATTTGAGTTGGAGAAAATACAGTTGGATAAAGTGCTTGGTGGTTGTCGGGGGTATGTATTCTGTTTATTTACTTCCCTTTTTGATAATAACCCAAAAAAAATTGTTTTTATGTTTATTTAAATTTATTTTATTTTTTTATTTTTTTATAGAGTTCAAATTTTGATTCCTGAGTGGGTGGATGCTGTGGTTAGAGTCCCCTCATTCTCTAAATGGCCTTCACATCTGGTGGATATGAGGAGATCGGTTAGAAGCGATGTGGAAGAGGTTACTTGGCACCAGGAGTATCGTTGGAGTTGGACTGAAAAAAAGTTTCAATACCGCGGCTACTGGGATCCTGCGTCTTTTCAACACCCAACATTTTGTGTTGTTCCTGATAACTTAGAGATCGAGGAGATTCAGGGCTGTTTAGGCGTTAATATTTCCAATTAGTGAGTATTATAAATTTATTTGTTTGAAATTTTGCATAAGTTAGTAGATATACAAAAAAAAATTAAAAATTTTAATTCTAACGTAAATATATTTTCTTTCTTTTTACAGTCCCTATTCCAGCTTACCAGCTTTTCAGAGGACCTATGGGCCACGTCCCACCAATCCGGCCTTGGAATTGATTTTTTGTCAAATATATAGAGAAGCATGGGAAGAAATTGTTTTGGTGGACAGTAGGTGGGAGACTGTAAGTTCCCCTTTTTCTTTATTCTTTTCCTATTTTTTTTTGTTTTAAATTAAATAAAATTTTGTTAAAAAAAATGTTTTTTTTGTTTTCAGAGATGGGCTCTACGCATGCCGGTCATTTGGCATGAATGCTAGGTTTTTTGTGTTATTTGAATTATTTATTATTCATACTTTATTCTTATTATTCAACATAGTATATGGATAGTTTAAATGGTGTATATATGTTAAAATTATGCTTTCTAATAATAAAAAAAATTCAAAACAAAAATGTTTGTTTATTTTTTTATTTCCTAATTTTTGATTCTTATATGATTTTTTTTATATAATTTTTTTTTTAAATAAAAAAAAATTTTATAATTTAAATTAACATTCTACAATTTCGTCAAATGGATTTTATATACCCCCAAAAAAATGAAATATATTTGAACCCCTTAAAAAAAATCTTCTCCTTGGAATGCCTGAAACCAACATATGTGACGCGACGCGAAGAAAGGGACCTAAGCGTCCAAACGGCAATTTCGCAGGAGAGAGAAAAGAGTAGGCAAGAACGTGGCGAAGAGTTTCCGATATCTCTTACTCTCTCTTGCTTCCCACTACTATTTCAAGTTGGCGTCTCTGTGTTCGGGCGTCTTCGGAAAGTAAAGAGAGATGCACCTCGTACACGTGCTTTCGTAGTGAGAGAGAACGGTGTAGTCAGCGCATCTCTCTTTAAATCACGAATACCGACCCGAACTTCAAGTGACGCATGGACACAGTGAGAGGGGAGCGTACGCATGTGTGTGTGAGGAGAAAGAGAGTCAATTCTCTACACGAATCGCTCATGTTTAAATCGTTATTGCAAAAAAACTATTTGATAAAATTTAATTTTGACTTCACATAATTAAAAAGCAATCCTTAATTTATCTGAATCAATCATAATCCGAAAATCAAAAATTGGACTCTTAGGTCCCTTTCTTCGCGTCGCGTCACATATTACTATTTGTATTTCTCCCTTTGGTGAAAATTGGACGCGAGCTACCCTATTGCCTTCTCTGTATTATTCTTGTTCGCTTAATACCCCTGGTAACCTGTATGCAACGTCGTTTCTGGATTGTTTCTTGTGGTGGCATCATCTTACTTCCCTTTCTCCCCCATTTCATATTACTCTTTACATCGTTTCACGCTCTCGTGATGATTAGATTCCGTGCCTTTGATTTTTCTTTCGCGCTTTGTGATTTTTTTTAAATAATGACTGTGTATACATAAAAAAATTTTTTTTTATTTATTTTTGTTATTAGTGCTTCTCTTTTTAGTGTATTTAACACAAAAAAAAATTATTAATATAATCGTTTTTTTTTGTTCATTTTTTTTATAAGTGAAGTGGTTTTTTGATGTGGACTGGAGTTCTTCCCTGGATTTAATCTTTCTGTTTTGTGATTTTTTTGTGTAGTTCAGTGTTCTTCCCCCCCCCCTTTGTTATTCTTCCGAAATTGATTTTTTTGGATTAGTTCCAGGTTCGTAAATGGTAAGTTCTTATTAAGTTCTTATTAATTAATTCTTATTAATTAATTAATTCTTATTAATTCCACAAGCAGCGACGTTAGCGATGCCTCTACCATTAACTTTCCGCAATCATTCCGTAAGACTCCAAAAACGAACTTTGGTGCTCACGCGCAACCCTATAGCCCTGGTTAGTTCCTTCCTTATTTATATTAAAAAAAAAATTTTGTTTTATAAACAAAAAAAAATATTATATATATATATATATATATATATATAAATAAAATAAAACCCCAAAAAAAAATGTTCCCCTTTTTTTTTATTTGTTTATGGGACGTTCTTTGTCAACCGGACCACCCCATCTCTCCATAATTGGTTTAATTTAAAAAAATTTTATCATATTGGAAAAATTAGCTTGGAATGTCTACTTTTTAATCCCGTTGGGCGCTTTTTGAAATTCAAAATGGCGACTTAAATATGGCGCCTAAACGACATAAAAAACACAAAAAATCCACTAATATGATCTATATTATTGTTTAAAGCTTCACATATGACGATAAAAATAACCACAACATAATTTACTTACAAACTGATAACGTATCTCCATTCAAAATTCAAAAATTCAAAATGGCGGATTAAATATGGCGGATAAAATTAAAAATTGAGCTAGACTCGTGAAAATTACTACTTGGGGGTTTTCGAGGTCGCTGATTACGAATCCGGTGTTAGTTTTCAAAAATTCAAAATGGTGGATCCAATATGGCGGACAAAAATTTAAAAAATGGAGCTAATTTCGTAAAAATGTCTACATAGGGGTTTTTGGGGTCGCTGATTACAAATCCGATGTCAGTTTTAAAAAATTTTTAAATGGTTGATGACAAATCTCTATTTAAAATTCAAAATGGCAGATAGAATTAAAAAATTAAGCTAGTCTTGTGATTATTAATTAAATAATCCTCACGTAATTTCCATAAAAAGTTATCTGGCGTTGTATTTGATAAGTTCAAATGGCACCTTTTTACGTTCAATATAAAAAAGTTAGATCAATTTTTTATATGTTGGTCCACCATTTTATATTCACAATTTGATTTTTTAAAAAGTAACGATGAATTCGTAAAGATTGTCCTGAAAAACCCTTAGGTAGACATTTTAACGAGTTTAGCTCAATTTTTTGGATTTGTGGTCAGCCATTTAGAATTTTTAAAAAGTAACCGCAGATTCGAAATCATAGTGACCCCGAAAACACCCGAGTAACAAGTTTCAGGCGAATCTAAACGATTTTTTAATTTTTGTCCATCACATTGGATCCGACATTTTGAATTTTTGGAAACTAATACCGGATTCGTAATCAGCGACCCCAAAAACCCCCGCGTAACAAGTTTCAATCGAATCTACACGATTTTTAATTTTTTTTTTCCGACATATTGGATCCGCCATTTTGAATTTTTGAAAACTAACACCGGATTCGTCATCAGCGACCCCAAAAACCCCCGTGTAACAAGTTTCAATCAAATCTACACGACTTTCAATTTTTGTCCGCCATATTGAATCCGCCATTTTGAATTTTTGAAAACTAACAACGGATTCGTAATCAGCGACCCCAAAAACCCCCGAGTAACAAGTTTCAGTCGAATCTAAACAATTTTTCAATTTTTGTCCGCCATATTGGATCCGCCATTTTGAATTTTTGAAAACTAACACCGGATTCGTAATCAGCGACCTCGAAAACCCCCAAGTAGTAATTTTCACGAGTCTAGCTCAATTTTTAATTTTATCCGCCATATTTAATCCGCCATTTTGAATTTTTGAATTTTGAATGGAGATACGTTATCAGTTTGTAAGTAAATTATGTTGTGGTTATTTTTATCGTCATATGTGAAGCTTTAAACAATAATATAGATCATATTAGTCGATTTTTTGTGTTTTTTATGTCGTTTAGGCGCCATATTTAAGTCGCCATTTTGAATTTCAAAAAGCGCCCAACGGGATTAAAAAGTAGACATTCCAAGCTAATTTTTCCAATATGATAAAATTTTTTTAAATTAAATCAATTATGGAGAGATGGGGTGGTCCGGTTGACAAAGAACGTCCCTTATATATTTTTTTTTACTAGGTCCTGAAATTTCCCAATGCACGGCTATTCCCGTTCCTAATTTAAAAGAGGCTGCCTCTCAGACGAAGCTCAGCTGCCGATGCACTGCTGGGTGACCTTCCGCTTAGCCCTTATGGTAATTATACCTCAACACGAAACTAACATTACCCTTTTTTTTTTAATTAAAAAAAATAATCCACTTTGCCTGATGGTTCTTCCAAGATTACTTATCGGTGGGCGGGTCCTGATTTTTATTAATTAGGCCCTTCGTATACAGTAAGTTTTATGTCGTTCAAAACTTATACAAATAGTAATAATTAATCCATAATAATACATTATTATATAAAAATAAAAACCCTATGTTTCCTATTACATGATTACTTATGATTAATTACATTATATGTTGCTAACTTACCCAAAAAAAATAATTTTGTTTATTCTAAACCTACCCTAGTTTTTTTTTTTTTTTTTTTTTTTTATTCATTTGGGCGCACTGCCCCATGCCTATCCCCATATTTGCTTGGTTTTAAGCAATTTGTTTTCAAAAAAAAATGTATGCCCAAAAAAAATGTATTTACGTCGTATAATTTATGCTTTCACCTCCTCGTTGCCCCTTTTGCATGGTTGTATACATTTTTATTTATTTGTCAATGTATATTACCATGCATATAGCGGCATTTGTATATTAGTAGATATTTAAATAAGAACAACATTTTAAACCGCGTTCTCTAAAAAAAATTTTCTTTTTTTTATGATTATTTTTATAACTCTATTTTTCACACGAAAAAAAATATTTATATACTGGATCAATCGTCCATAATATTTTTTTTTCTTTAATTATTTTAATGAATGTATTCTTACATCGGGGCACATTACTGTCCTTCTTTTTGCTTTTGGCGTAGGTACTTCCGAACTCAATATTTGAATAGTTTTCGAGGTGCTAGCCGTTACCTTTTTTTTTGTTCGTGTTGTAGCTTTTGTTTGGTCTATTTCGGGTGAAATGATAATTCCAAAAGAAGGTAATTCTTTTAGGGGCAATTCATTTGCCTCTTTCTTTTCATTTAGAATGATGTTTATGGTTGTGGGCCTTTTTTTACAGGCAATCGTGATAATTACCACTGTGGCCAAAATTGCTATTGTAGTAATCGTACCCCAAATTCCTATCATCGTTGGGGAATATGTTTCATTGAGTTTTTGGTTCAGGACGCGTTGACTTTGTTCTTCGAATTCTTTTTCTAATAGTTTCAATTTTTCGTCAGAATCCGACTTTTTCCACGAGAAGAACTTCTTGTCGTTTTCAACTATTATGATCTTTCGCCCTACATTTTTTAATATCAATGACACATTTTCTAGCTTTAATTCTAGTTTGGGTTTATAAAGATATCTATATGGATTCTCTTTGATTTGTAGACTTGGTAACTCTATGGTATCTAATTTGAGAATACATTCTCTTTCTACATGTACAATCCCTATACCTGATAAAGTGTAAATTTCGGATTCCTTCTGTCGGCAATTTAAATATACTGTTTCCGGATGGATAAGCGAATATAGCCAACTCCCGGTTGTAATAAGTGGTTCC